TTGGGGGTGTTGTTGCCATTGGCGTGGCCGTTGGTGTTGCCATTGGTGACGGTGGCGTTGTTGGAGTTGGACATCTTGGGCTGGAGAATGAGGACGTTTTTCTCGGGTTGTTGGGTTCAGGTGTGGCTGTTGTCGTGGGAGTTGGTATACTTGTGACGGCCGAGATGATATCTGGGCTTTTTCTGTGGTGTCAGTGTTTTACCCGCGGTGAAGCGCAGGTGAGAGAGGACTCACTCAAACCACGAGAACAGGTATCTCAACGTGTTCATTGCAGATTAGTGGCGAAGGATGCATCTCGTGTTGTTGCCCAGCAGAGGGCCAGATAAGCGAGCCAATGGTAAAAAATCACTATCTGGTGATGGTGAGGAAGTCGCGTCCAGAGTCGGAGGCAGTAACGCTCACCCTCACCAATTGGCCAAGTGCAATAGATCCACATGCTACCATAACGACTGCAGTATCAAGATATCGTTCTCTGAATGAGTGCGGTACGTGGAAGTAAATGTAGTGATTATGATGAGATCTCTGTAGAGCAGACTTAAAGGCACACGACTGCTGGAACGCGCCACATAGGAAGTGAACGCTTTTCGTCCAACGCACACTAAATGAAACGTTTTCGATGCAGAGTACTGAGAATGACCAGGTATCAAGATTGGTACGCGACTGTGATGATGACAGCCTTCCGCTATTCGGAAACACATACCATGGAAGGCTACCAGCGCCGAAGTTCATATGTGCACTTACATAGAGTATGCGAGCTATTTTGATTCCGATGTACAAGCCTTGGGCAGAACACATCTTAACTAGATCATGCCCCGCCGCGACCATGTGACCCAATCGTAAGACACACGCATTATCCGCCCCGTATTATACTAGTATGCAAAAGTAGACCAACGGTCGTAGTCGCCACACATTTTTGGCTAGAAATACCATTTGAGACGTCGCGACCATGGGTGAAATTTCGGAAGGAACTGAAGGGGCGACTCAGCAGCTTGGAAATCGTGTCGTATGCGGAAACAAATTCCGACAGTGAACATCGCTCACGTCGCTCACGGCCGAGTCTGGTGACACTGTGGCGTTGATGTAAGCCAGTGAGTACGACGGACGTGTCTTACTATATTCCTGCCTCGCCCATGTTGAGCCGGAACAGTATGCCGAATGTTGGTTGCAGGTACACGTGCTTGGCTAAATTCGCCATGGGTACGGAATTGCCATGATGCGGACGCTACTTGCGATTGTCGACTAGTACGAGAATGCCTCCTCGAAAAGGTCAATGCTTCGTACACCCACCCTGCGTCTGACAGCTGCCCTAACGCCGTCACTGAAGCCCATTGGCCCGCACACTGAGACCGCCATGGCACCGATCTGTACAAGCACCTCTTCATCTAGTACACCTTGCACATCGCACCGCTGCAGTCTTACGTCGAGGTACGCGGGCACACAACGGCTTTCAAGTTCGCATGAGCCCATTCTGGACGCATAGACCCGTATGCTCACGACTTCGCCAAAATGCTGTAATGACGCGATTTCGTCAAGCCAAAGCCGCACCCACTCCACGGAATCAAGGTTGGCTATGCACCAAACGAGTACAATCTTTCTTGCGGCGGCTGTATTGCTGTTGTGTGCGTTGAGCAGATGTCGCACAAAAGACAACTGGTGTGTTATTCCTACCCCTCCTGCGAAAAGCACGACAGTGCCGTATGAGTCAAGCGAGTGTTGGCCACCATACGGTCCCTCTATAGCTCCCCAGAAGTGCACCTGAGTGTTCTCATATTTCGCTGCCAATTTATGAAGAGCACAAGTCATCCCTCGGCGCGAACGGATGATGCACGAGACAGTGCTAGGTCCATCCTGGGATCCAGGGTCGTCGATGGTGAAGGACAGCTTTTCCCCCGGGATCTTCGCGTTCCCACATTGCTGGGACCAAGCCACAGAGAACGGGTGTGACCCCACCAGTGCTACTCTTGGCATGTAGATCTGAACGTGTGATCCAGGGTTCGCGTCCCACGAGTGGGGTAGAGTGAAAGTGACACGCGTCGCCTCTCCGGGTAATGTTTCCAGCTTGACAGAAGTCCATGTTTTCCTCTTCCACGAGAAGTTGAGATGTAATATCCTAAGGAAGCGAGCTAGGGGCTCTAACGACAATAGAACGACAACCAAATACATCCAAGGCAGTTGGGGTAGGGCATGTTTCGCCAGATGAAAGTAGACGCCGGATATCGCTATTGCAATGCCGATTCGGTGCAGTGAGAGGAATGTTTCGTAGAATGAGCGTCTAAGGGGGCCAATGGAATGCATCATGAGAAGCACGAAGGCGACGAAAGCTGCAAGGCCGCTCCGATACGACATTGAATGCTGTAGAAGCCGGCCCACACTGTGCCAGCCGCTTTCCCCATTATAGGTCACCTGGTACGTGTTGTATAGGAACGCGGAAACATGGGCTATAGTCTCCACTACGACAAGTCTGGCCGTCCATCGATGGAAAAGGTTGAAGGTATCGTAGCTGACCTGGAGCAAGTTGATTAGAGGGTTGTTCCGGAGAGCAAAGAGTATCGTGAAGACGAGGTTGAAGGTGGCTAGGGACCCGCAGCGGCCTCGAAACTCGGCCATCATCTCGGAACGTGGGCGCACAGATATTACCAAGCAATACGCTGTATTGCTCAGAATATAGAGAGCGATCACAACCACATGAGCGCGAGTGGGTAGTGAGACCGAAGTTACACCAGCCGTAGAGGCTCCCGTTGGTTGCCGGTATTTGGTCAATCTGGCTGGCGCATACAGAAAGTGCTGCTTGAGGGCTCCCCAGAAGGCGTAGCGATCCCGGGCCCAGAATTCTTGTCCTCTGCATGAAGCAATGGTTGAAACTCGTCGTCGATCGTTCCTGGCGGCGACGATGATACGAAGGCAGAAGGAAAGTATCGTCGGTATCAGCGCCGTCGCGATAAGGATATGGACGAACATGTCGTTGGCAGATTGATTAACACCAGCGAGTCCGTGACTGAACTTGAACGGATCTGAGCTTAGGTTGGTCTCGCCATTGTGAATGTCGTCGAGGGTCGGTGCATCCGATGGTAATGTTGAAATCGGGATTTTGGCGGCGTCCATTTGTCAACGAATGTCGGATGTGACGTCTTTCGCTCGAGATTGGCTATGAAGTGTGATCGGAGAGAATTCCAAGGTGCGATGGAATACTTTATAGCATCTGTTGAATCTGGTGGACCTCCGGTGAACGTATAAGCTTGGTGCTGGGCGTAGCCTGACTCTGAGTTGCTGTCTGCGATGCAGAGTCCGCTGATTTCAGACCTCGCCATCGGAGCCTGCATTGGCCGGTCCGTGTATTGCCAAGTAAGAAAGCCGCAGGGCCTGGTAAGTGCAAACAGCCAAAGATTGAGGTCCCGTAGCCGTCTCCTACAAAGTCAGCACGTCTGCACTACCTTGTCTGCAGCCATTTTGGCAGCTAAGAGTATTAGTGTTGGTAACGTAGCAAGACCCTGAGGTACTACCATTGGCAGAGCCGCGATCTCAAGGTAGATTGGGGAATGCTAGGTGGATCGATACCTACAAACGTGAGCAAGTCGCCGTCTCGTGGTTGCCACAGATTGTGGCTCGAGCTGCTTACTTTACAACCGCAGGGCTGCAATTGTGCGCGAAGGCTTTTGGATCGGTCTGGCCGTAAATAGTACGCAACAATGTGGGTCATCGTGACTACTTAAAGTCATCCTGTTGGCCTTCGCGTAAAGTCGGAGGAGAGGGATGGCAACAGGTGTAGTACAAGGACTCGAGGATAGAAAATTAGCGCTGACACGAGATCCATCGGGCTAAGCCCTACCGTGACCCGGCTTTTACATCTAGCCTCTTCGAGTACGTGTCAATATCTCACTCAAGGTCGCCGGTGAGGATATTATCCTTCTTACCGCATTTTTAAAAGTGATGAGGACAATTAGAGAGTTCCTAGTTGTAACGTGTGTGTGCGCGGTAGTGGCGAGTCAAGTGTGGTGGAATTGCGCTATCGGAAACCTCATCAATGAACTTGGCAACAGCGAGATGGTTTTTCGTATATTCCGCGTTATGGCAACGACCCGTAGATATGGTAGAGGTCGCTGGGCGTGTCATGAGCTCCTTCTGTACCAGGACAGCTAATCATGACGAGCAGCGTTTCATCGACCGTTTGCCGAGCTTTGCCGAGCGTGCTGTTCTTTGGTCTCGGACATCAAGAGCCGACAGAGGTGGAAGCCAGTTGCGCATGAGGTTTCTCTGATTAGTCCTAAATGAGGTGCGTCACGCAGCGGGATTCCAAACAACCGCTTCGAAATGAGGCTGACGTGGACGTGGCTAAGGGGGTGTCAACAAAAGACACATAGGGTGTGGTCTTGTAGCTCGGGTGCGACTCAGCCCGCTGTTCGAGACGAGAAGAGGCTTCAAGTTTGGCTCCTGGGCAAATGCACTGGCATTCCATGCTGTGCTCCATTTGGTACCGCCAGATCCGCCGCTTGGTAGCACAAGATCCGTAAATTCCACACTGGAAGATGGTATTTCATTAGCGTAGCTCACGCAGAACCTGTGTGGATTGTGGCTGTCAGAGTATTCTCAAAGTCTTGTCATCTGGATAATGTAGGGATGAAAAGGTTGAGAGGCTGTCAAGGGATTTTCGAGGAAAGAGGTGGTGGTTGGTGGATCAAGGTTTTGTTGATGGCTTGGCGGCCTAGCGTCTGACGTCACCACGCGACGCGACGCGATTGCCTCTTCGCGAAGGCTTTCGCGGAGGCGGGAGAGCTAAACATGCTACGTGCAACAGCCGGAAGGACACCAAATGACAAGATCATCTTACATATTAAAATCATGCCGAATACTTATACAGCAGAACACGCTTTTACGAAACGCCAAATACCCAATGCACCAAGCCCAGGTCTCTAACTCCGACAAAAGCACATCTAACATATATACATCCCAACACTATTCACATCCGCCTCTCATGTTCCCTCTTTTCACTCCTAGTCTTGCATTCAACTGCTCCCCAGAATCCTCTCATAAGCCTCCTCCACCTCCCTCGCAACCTCCAACAGCGTAACGATGACAATCTGATGCGTGACGTTCGGCAAGCGATCCCGATGCAACCCAATCCACTCCAACGGCGGCGTCGCTTCACCCATATCCCGCAACTGTGGTGTCTCGATTAACGGCGGCTCGAGCGGCGTATACTCGTAGCGTGACTGTGGCACATTCACCACCGCTGTGATCTTTTCTTGGCCGTCTGGTGACACGGAGGGGGCGCGGGGCCGGTTCGAAGGCATGGCGGTTGTTTTGTCTGAAGCAGTGGAGGGAGAATCAGATGCGGGCGCGTTGGGGTCGTCTTGCAGCGTTTGAGATGTGCTGATTTTGATGTTGGACTCAGGGAGGGGTTTGCCGAGGCGGGAGGCGAGGGTGCGGGAGTGGTTTGACCACATGGTACGGATGTAGGAGATGCGCGAGTAGTTCCAGCCGACATCTACCTTGCCCTCTAGGGAGCTGCGGAAGAGGTAGTCGATGTGTGTTCCCTTGGGTACTTGCCAAGTGTGCATTGTAGCGATGACTTTGGGTACGCGTAGGATGGTGCCGCCGCGGGCAGAGCTGACACTCGCGGACACGTCTTCAACGGTGAGTTCGGTCACGGGTTTGCTTTTCTTTGGTGTGGGTACTGAAGCCAGTGCGACAGAAAGTTGGCCCAACGTCATCCCGAGACTGGAGTGAATCTTGGTTTTCTTTTCCAGTGCGACGGCAAAGCGCGCTTGCATGTCACCAGCTTCGAGCATCAAGACCTGATTGTCTATGAAGGTTGATGGGAAGACCCCAAACCTGATTGACCGCAACGTGACCACAACGTCGGTATGTAGTGAGATTGGTGCTTTGAAATTGTCTTCGTCGGGCTTCGCGATGAGCTGGCTGTTTGATCCTGATCGTTCAAAGGGTTCCGGCACTGATGATTTGCGACGAAGGAATTTTTCGATATCCCGGAGAGACTGCTTGTACGCTTGTTGGTTCTCTTGGATCAGCCGTTCAATCGCTTGCCACAGCGCAAGACCCTGTGCGGCACTCGTAGCATGACAAAAGACGTGTACTTTGCCACCATCGAGTATAGCCACCAACCGATCTTGTACATCTTCACCCTCTGGGCGAACGTTGTACATCAGGAAGCCGAACTCCGCAATATCCGCCATGACGAAAGCTTGGAAGTCGAACCCAGTCCGGACGCGTAGCTGACGGAAAGCTACTGATGCTTGGATGAGTGGTGTCTGACGAGTGTTCGCCTCTTGTAAAGGCCATCCAATCGACGTACGTACTTTGATCTCATGCAGCTCAATGAAGCCACTAGTCCGGCCTGTACTCTCTATGCCAATCTTTTCCACTCCGACACAAAGGTTCTGTTCGGATGTGGTGGTCTTCTTGGACGACGCCCACAGGTTGTGAATGTGAAGCCATGACTTTCCGATAGATTGGCCCAGATCTAGGTCGACCTTCACATCTGCGATGGCTACGTTGGCGTTCCAAGGGAATGCAGTGGCGGCAGCAACTTGCTGATAGCGTTGGATAAGGTACTCTTGTGGCTCCGAGTTGGCGCTAGGTGACGTGGGCTTAGAAGCTCGGCGGATTTCCGGTGGCACCCAGATCTCTCGGAACAACAGGAAGTCCTGCAGTTGACGAGCATTGATTTGCAGAGCCGTCGGATTGATTTTGAGAATAGCTGATATGCCACTAGTACCGCTGAGATGCTTGCTGTTCATCAATGATAATACGATCGATTCCACGTCCAAGCTGAAAGTCGACTCCCGGGAGTAGACATGCTGCACAGTTGTTACAAGCTTTTCGAACGTAGCTGACGCAGCGAAGAAGTGACCGTGCTCCTGAGATTTCACACTGTTGATGGTAATGTAGATGTCCTCAACCTTGGCGATTGCCGTGACACGAGCAATGGGTTGACAGCTGAGACTAAACTCCTGCTTGCATATTCGAAGTCCCAGGTTCAGTCTGGTTCTGCCCAATATGGTCGTTGGGTCCGCGGTGATGATGTTGTCTTCTTCAAGTAGCTTCGCCGTCGGCTTAGACTGATCTTGGGGCTGTTGAGGTGATTCGTCCGCATCTTCGTCTTTTTCGCGGACTACGGCCTTGATGCTATCCGATATGTCAATAATGATGGGTACGACAGTCGGTAGTAACGTATTGGTCGATCCATCAACACGAAGCTCGGCGTTGAGAGAGGGATCGCTTCCGTCATCCATATATTCGACGCGTACAGCCACGCCCGGCGCGCGTAAGGCCAGACTGCTCTTCGACTCGTCACCAACAAACTGGCTATAACGTCCCTTTTGCTGAGCTCGGCCTGAAGCACCTTGAACCGGCGCTGCATCGCTCCCGTGAATGTGCACGACAGCTCCGGCAAAGTTGATGTCGGCGGTTAGAGATGCAAGGCGTTTGTTCCCAAAAGGATTCTTCCGCTGCGCGCCGGTAGTTGTCGGAGTCATACTCCAGTTTGCAGAAGCTTTCCGGAACTTCTTACCGGCGAGAGCGATGGACCGTTCAATCACATTACCTGGCAAGACAAAATGCGAATCGAGCTGGAGGTCAAGCGATTTACCAGCAGCAAAGAATGCCAGCTTGCGCGTGTCTTTGGTAGATGCATATGCTACGTTGAACACCATCTTCGGTAACAACGCCGAGTTGAGCGATCGCACCTTTTTGTTTGCCGATACTGGTACCATCTGCAACCGCATCTCTTCGATCATCAAGCGTGCGGCATCATCTTTCTGCGTTGAAAGATCAATCTTTCCAAAAGAAAGCACAAGATCGTGGACCTCATTCCTTGGGAAGGGAGCCACAGAGTTTCCGACAATCCAGCTAACCTGTAGGTCCAGTAGTTCCAAGGAGTAAGTTGATGTGAAGAGAGCTCCAGAACTGATGCTGTCAGAGTCTTGTTGCGCATCGCGCTTGACGCTACGGTCGCGTCGATGAGAGATTCTGCTCTTTGTATGTCGGAGGCGACGCAAATACTTCTTCTCCTTGGAGAGGTCCAGGTCCTTAATCTTGTCTTGAAGATGATTCATCACATCCACGACCGCTGACGCTGTGTCCGCGAAAACATTGACCTCCAGCCCTGAGCTTCGCAGGCGGTAGACCCTGCGGGCAGGTTCAGAGTCTTTCTCTGTAGTGGCCTGGAAAACCGCGCCGAACGTAAGATTACCGCATTGACGGAAGGAAGTCGCGTCTTTCAGATTCATGTCAATAGTGACTTCATGAATTCGAACCACAGCTTCTGGATATAACAGGATGCTCTGATCCAGGTCAATATTCGTAGCCCTTAACTGCACTGTGGACAGTCGGAATGCAAGATTGGCTGTTGGTGAGTCTGGGTGTTGACCAGGAGCGCTAGCTGAAATGTGCATGCCATGCAAGGTCATTTGCACACTGAACAAAATATCCCGGGACGAGGTCGGAGCTTTGACTACTGGCGATTCTACCGAGGCCGGGAACAGCTCCTCAATGTGTGTCTTCAGCACCCCAACATCGTCCTGAACCGCGTGAAACATGTGCGACATCTCTGGCTTGTTGACAGTCGCAATGAAGGACTGTATTTCTGAAGCCTGGACGTGTACCATCTCGACGATACCAGACGCCGATACTTTCGTCTCATTCTCAGTTTGCGTTATAGATACTCTTCCATTGAGAGGAGGCAGCTCAAGCGAGCTGATGACATGAGAGCCGTCTTTTGAGGTGCTGTAGAGTCGATGGAAATTGGCTTCGAGATCGTAATCGACTCGCAAAGTGACATGTTTGCCAAGGGTAGGGATGACGGCTATACGCCCAGAAGATCCTGTTATCGACCAGCCGAGTGGCTGGAGCACAGCAAGCTCAATCTGGTATGCGTCCATAAACAGCGCAAGCGAAATGTTGGGCAACTCGGTGGCAGGCTTGCGAGGCTCGTCATTGTCCGAGGTCTTGCTCCCGACTTGTTGTATGATTGTGGATTGTCGAAGGAAGTACGCAACCTCGTCTTTTAGTACGTTATCGGCTACTTCGATGAGACCCAGAACATCCTCTTGCACCTTCACAACGATCCTGCGGCTTGCAGCTGCCACCTTAATTTCGTTGGTCAGTTTGCTCTCATCTCCAGATTCTACCATGGCGAAGTAGATGCTCGGTCGTTCGAATTGCGTTTTGGCCAAAAGCCGGGAGTGGGAAGACAGTTCGCCAACAGCGTCATCCACATCGAGATGAGCTGATATAATCTCTCCTTGTCCCGATGCTCTGCTGTCGGCGTCAAGGAACGAGAATCGCATGCTGCTGCCCGTGTTGATGCTTCGAAGGTTGATAGTGTCTAGCGTGATTTGAACTTTGTCGGTCGCAAATACTACTTGGAGATCATGGTCGAACGTCGGCTTCGAATTGTGCCCTGATGGCGGACCAATGGGCTTTCTCTTCTCGGCTGCCCTCAGATTTTCCTTTTGGAACAATTCAAGTAAGGACTCTGCCAATTCACAAATTTCCCACTGAACATGTAGAGACATCTCTCCGGAGCTGATTTGGACGATGGTGGATTTCTTCGGGATGCTGGCGTCTACCAACATAAGCCCAGCAGGTTCCGTCGGAGGTAGCAAGACGACGTTCAGGGTTAATAAACCTAACGACACCTCGCTTTGTCTTGGCCCGGGGTCAATGATGAATTTGATCTCAGCGGACCTGATGTCGACATGTACGGGGGCAGAATCGGGAGTCGGAAGTGGATCCTCAAGATGGCCAAAGAGTGATCTCATTGCGAGACTCTTCTTCACATGCGCCAAATCCCACGTGCGCCACTGATCCCACATCGCGATGATCTTCTGCTCCGCATCCTCGGGACATGCCACATCAGACTGCGAGCAGTCACCGAGGATAGCATCCTTTTCCGATTGCGGAAGACATTGCCAGGTGTATCGAAAACGGGAGATGATCTTCCATGAGTCATGACTGCGCAGATGGTCCCTAGCAGCTCGCAGGGCGTAAGACGCCTTGGTGAGGAAAGCAGGATCCGGATGTTGGTCTTGTACGCTTGTGAGGTACCAGGCCAGATAGCGCAGTCGACCTTGCTGTCTTTGCTCGACCTCAGTAAATCTTGTCACCAGTTTCTCCGATAACAGCGTTGTACGATGGATGAGTGCGGCCAAGTACTCAACCTTTTTGCTTGCAACGGCGTTCTCCAAAGACCGAAAAGAAATGTTTACCGATGTTTCCTTGCTTTGCATCATCCACAGTAAAACATCCCTGATTTCAGCCTGTACAGCAACTGCTCCACCGTCGCCATGAACGTCGCGTTCGGTCACTGACAGACCAAGCGAACCGAGAGTGGAATGCAATGAAAGAGAGTTCTCGCCAGCTCGCTCTCCCGGAAACTTCTTGATCCTTGCCGCTAAAGTCAACTTGTTGAGAATGAGATCGTACTGGTCCTGCCCGGTCTCATTCATGGAGTGTGATTGGAATGTGTGTTGGAAACGAACGTGTGTGAAAGGGATGCGGACATTGAACTCCACAGAACTGCCCTTCCCCTCTAGTCGGTTGCGATTCTCGAGAATTTTGGTCATCACATCTACCTGAAACTCGTCCAACATATCCTCAGGACGTTTCGGCTGGAGTAGTTCGATCAGACTCGATACACATGTAACGAACTCTGGTGTACAAAAGACGCGTATGCCTGGCTCCGCGCTAATGAGTATGCTGCTATGTGTGAAGCTCTCATCCAAATGCTTTGTCGACACATCATTGAAGACAACGTCATCCGCATCCCGAGCATAATTGATGGGAGGTATGGCAGGGAAGGTCGGAACATTCGACAAATCCGGCTCGACCCGATCGAAGGTAAAGTGAGGTACAGCCAGGCTGCTGGAGTATGCAACGGAAGATGGCACCCAGCCTGGTTTGGCATGTTCATCCTCCTTGAAAGGTGAGTAAGATCGATACCTGGCCCCTGCTGGGTTTGGTGATCCACTGAGCAGGGTTCGACTTTCACTGCTAGCCGCAGTCTTGTTGGCTGTCTTGTGTCTGACCGCGGATCGGATGCTGCTGGCGATCGACTTTGAGGATGATGAGCGCTTGCTAGTCGCACGCAGCCGTGCTGCCTTGGACGATGAAGCATTTGAGGATTGTTTGGATGACGTGAAAGAGCTGGTATGATGAGGTGGTTGGAAGAGGAAGATAGGATGAGGCACATCAGGATATTGCATTGCTGGTGTGCGCACATACTGACGATTGGCATCGTCTTGATACGAGGAAGAACCGCGTTCGTCAGTAAGCAGAAACCGAGTTCGATTCGTCCGCTTGTCGTGCATTCGTATGTGAGCCTGCTGTTGCGCGCGCTCCTCCGAGAAGTCCAACTTCCGCGTCAGCAGATTTAGCGACAAGGCAGTTTGAAGATAAGCCTGCGTCGTGACCGCTTCTTTTTCCTTGGGTCGCGCCCTGTGATGCGCCACGGACTTGGATGGGACAGCTGTGATCGTAAAGTCTGGTATTGAGACACTGAGTCGCTGCGAGAACGTACTTCCAGCAAGGTCATTGAAGTCGAGACTGATGGGGCTCGTTTTGAACAGCAGTGCTTCTTGTGCGATGTGTGCACAGATACTCACCTCATCGGTCCTCAGTCTGAGGTACGTCGCATCGTGAATCACCGGGACTTCAGTGAGAGGCAGAGTGTTTTCATCGTCGTCGAGAGTGAAAGCAAATGAGCGTGCTGCTCCTGCCGCAGTTTCAATAAACTCGGATGTGCAATCTCCCGATATCCTGCCTACATCAAAGTCCCAGCTACACACATAGGTCGGCTCAATTGGAGGGAGACCAAAAAGTCGATGTCCAAAAATGACAGTAGAGTCAACAAAGAGCTCCGTAGGACCACTTGTGAATTCGTTGGGTATCTCGGTGTCTGGTACCAACCCCCCAAGAGAGACGCTGATGGGACTGAAGTTGACCATCAGATCCATGTAGTAGTTGGTAAATCTGAGGTCTGCTGAAACGAATGGAAGGTCGGCTCGAATGCCACGCCCCGCTGCATACAGATTGGCTGGTAGTAGTGCACATGATTCATCGGCGGAAATACAAAGGATTACGTCCAGGTCGTTAGAAAGCTTGGCTGGTTGGGCGTCCGGCTGGGCTCCATCTGCAGCTAGGCTTGCACTTGGTAGCCCCTGGAATTCTTCCAGTGTCTTGAAATGCATGTCGTCGCCGAAATAGTTGTCTTTGATCTTCATAAAATGATGTATGAGCCAACCGTACAGTTCAAGACTGAGTTTATGACCTTGAATGTCCATGAAGAGCCTGTCGGTGTGCATCGTTGATGTTTCGTTCATCAAGGTATGACTACCGGTCAAAGTAAGTCCGCCTAAGTGAGCCACCTTCGGCGACTGTAGAAAAGTGCGCAATGTGTTCTTCTGCGGCATCAGAACCTCGAGACCCAAATTCTGGCCCTTGACATCGAACTTGATCACACTTTCAAGTGGCCGGAACTTGTCTAGAGGTATGAACACTTCTCCCTGTAAGTTTTGGCCCGACAGGATGACGAAGTTGTTGTCTTCTAGATCAGATGGGTTGTTTATTATGTTAGCGTCGTTTGTGTTGAGGTACAACTTGAAGTTGGAAAAGTCGACGTTGAGTAAGTACTGGAAAGGTACAAAAAGAAAGTAATCGGGTGGCGGTCCAGAGCCCCAATCAGCTACGAGGTCCATGATAAGGAACATATGATCTCTCAGCAGGAACAGTTCCAGGTCTTGACACTTGATGTTGAACAACCATTTTCGCAAAGTGTTCCACCCAAGAGGATTTGAGAGGTCACAGTCAAGAGCGATGGGACCGGAACGCCACAGAAGACCATGATTGACGCTGGATGAGATCTCTGTGCTTGCGATATCGACATCGACCTTGCTCTGGTATCCTTGCTTCGAGGCGTACATGTCCATGACATAATTGACAGTGGATTGCTCGGCTATCTTGACATCGATCCACGCAAACGGACGGACGTTCTGTGCACCACCAGCATCCCGACGCTTCCCTCTCCTGATGCGAGACTTGGCCTTGCCCTTGTTCTTATCAGCGCCAGACTTGTCGTGTGTGGCTAGTGTGTGGGCTTTCCCTTTCCACTTCCAGTCCTTGGAAGGCTCGCGGATTGGTATGCGTAGTACCGTATCTTTCTCGATACAGAGGTAAAGTTTGAACACGGTTTGAACACGGAGCTCACCGGCCTTCAAAGGCGTTGCGGGAACAGCGTCAACCCGCGAGCCAGGAAAGAACATATTCTGGAAGATTCCGCGATGGCGATCCGCCCAGGGTCCGTAGTTGATAGTGCCACCAAATATCTGTATGTCCATGCCATAATCAGGGGGGATGCTTCCGTTGATGTCGTAGGGGCGAGCAGGATCGATTTGCGTGCTTTGGTCGATATCATTCTGGACCGGGCCAGGGACATCCCAATAGAAGGAGACGTTGACACAAGGGCAGTCGGCGATCAATGATGTCTTGGCGTATTCGATGCCGTCCCATTCGCCGTGACCATCGTTGGTAGTATCGTCCAGGTACCTTGCCAGACCCTTCCAGCGCTCGCGACCAGGGAAGTGCCATTGTGAGTTCAAGGGCGGATTGTTAGCCGTGCCTGACCGGGTGTGCGTGTGGATAGAATCCGAGTCGCGGGAAAAGAGACCGGCCCAGGTAGGAATCCTCTTCAGCCATCGCCAATGTCGCCTATGCCTTGCTTCCTTTTCGATGATGGAGTCCTCCGGAACACCCCCTGCTGCCTCCTGTTTATACTGCACAGCGGACTCGAGTTGTCCAATCTTGTAGTCGGGGTTGGGCTTCATGTGCACGACGGGATGGGTGACTTGGAAGTTGAACAGCTGCTGGTACACGTCGAGTGGCCCACAGGTGGACGCATCAAGAGTGCCGGTAGCTTTCTCAAACTGCGCGGTTATGACGGCCAGCGTGTGCTCGTTCCCTACCACGATGGCGCCCTTGACAATGTCGACATGGACGGGAAGGAGTCGAAGGAAGGCGGGAATGTCGGCTTTCTTGGAGCTTGACGAGGTCGATCTACCTGTGTCGGCTCGTTTGACGTTCTTGTCGTTGTCGGTGTTGTGTGGCTTCCTTAGCTTGACATGGTGGTGTTGCTCTTCCTTCTCCGTCTTTTCATAGTCCGCCACTGACCCTTCGGGCGATTTCGCATCCTGTGCAGCGGCCTTTGCCTTCTTCTCAACTGCATCAATGATACCGTCGTATGCGGGGCTCCGGTTGTACATGAAGGCTTCGATTCCTGAAATCTTGATGGAGAAGCGACATGGTAGCTCCTTCCGCGTCTGCTTGCCTCCCTTCTCGGCCTTGTCTAGATTCCCGCTCCGACTTCCAGAACGGCTCCTCGGGGTGCTTGGTGTGCGTTCGCTATCGGCCTCGGAGGCAGGGTCGCCATCGGTGTATACACCTGCATCTTTGACCCGGCGCAGCCAGTAGTTCCAGGTGATGTATCCGCCATGCACCAGTATCGTCTCGTTGTGGCCATGGTACCGTATGTCCTTGAAGAAGATGCGACCGCCCAGTAAGGAGATCTGCAGCGAGGTGATGTCGATGTAGGCGTCGAAGGTGCGCCAGGTGTAGGCGCGTATGCCGTAGGAGACGAGCGTGGCGAAGAGGCGGTTGAAGTAGAAGAGGAAGAAGATGGTCAGGATGCCGCAGATGAGCAGCTCAACCAGGAAGACCCAGTTGAAGCCGTCGCGCGGGTCCAGAGGCTCCGCAACGATTCTTCCCGCCATGACTGCAGCGCGTTGTGTGTAGGAGGGTGAGTGTCTTCATGGCTCGAGGGGGAAGTCGCGCATTGTTGTGGACGAGCAGTGAGGAAAGAGCGCCCGGGTCGCTATGGCGCGTTCACGCGTGGTCTTGATACCTCGAGACGGGTAGGGCGACAATGGCGTGGAAATGTTGGAGCATGTCCTAGGGACGACGGCGCTACTGGGCCAGGGCCGATTGAGGTTCGAGGCGCGCCCGGCAGCTGGCAGGATGCGCGTCATGGGCGTGTTGCAGGGAAGCGAGCTTGGGCCTGTGCTGCCTCTCCGCAAACCTACCACACTGTGGAGGGCAAACGTGCACAAGACCACCCGCTCGACGCCCGGCGCAAGTCGACAGCACACACCATGGCTGCCTTCCATCGCTAACACCACCGCCTGTCCCTCTAGCAACAACCGACCGAGGACTGCGACCCCAGTTCTTTCCTGTTCCCTCGCTGGCCCACGCCTCACCATGGCTCTAGGCACCCTCCCACCCGACTTCACGGCCGCCGACTTCTCGTCTGGCGGCACCGGCGCCCGGTTTGCACGTGCCATTATCATCGTGGCCGGCGTATGCGCCCTGGTCGCGAGTCTGGTCACTTTTGTGTAGGCAGTAGAGCTTCCATCTTGCATGACATGAACTGACGTAGCTGTAGTGCTGTCTGGTTACAGACGTGAGGAACACCTCCACCTACCGATATACATGTGTTGAACAATTCATAGGAAGAACTACCGCAAGCCGGTGCTACAGCGATATGTCGTCCGTATCCTCCTCATGTGAGCCCCCTCTCCAGCTGTCGTGTGTCATCGCTCACGTTATCAAGGGTCCCTATCTACGCAGGCGCATCGTGGGCCAGTTTGGTGTCGACCATAGCTGCATCCTATGTAGAGCCCTTCAGAGATGTCTATGAGGCCTTCACCATCTACACCTTCCTCCAGCTGCTTATCAACTTCATCGGCGGCGAACGCGCCCTCATCATTCTCATGACCGGTCGCGCACCCGTCTCCCACCCTTGGCCTCTCAATCTCGTCTGCTCCAAGATCGACATATCCGACCCGCATACCTTCCTCGCCATCAAGCGCGGCATCCTGCAATACACATGGGTCAAGCCGCTATTGTCTGTGGCTACCATCATCATGAAGGCCACAGGCACATACAAGGAAGGCTACATAGGCTTGACATCCGGCTACTTCTGGAGTGGCATGATCTACAACGTCAGCATCACCATCAGTCTGTACGCCCTTGCCATGTTCTGGGTGTGCATGTCTACCGATCTCAAGCCCTTCCGGCCTATGCCCAAGTTCTTGTGCATTAAGGGCATCATCTTCGCCTCATACTGGCAAGGCTTCTTCCTATCCATTCTCGTCTTCCTGGGCGCCATTCCAGATGATGTGCCTGGCTACAGCCCTGACAATCTTGCCGCTGCAGTACAGGATGCTCTCATCTGTTTCGAGATGCCACTGTTTGCGCTGGCTCATTGGTATGCCTTCTCTTGGCACGACTACGCCGACGATACCATATCGGCCGCCCGCTTGCCCGTCAAATATGCCCTGCGCGACGCCTTCGGTCCCCTGGATCTCATCCAAGACACCAAGGAAACCTTTGCCGGCAACCACTACGAATATCGCTACTTCGATGCGCGCGACAACGTGCTGGCACACGAGGAGTCATCATCGCGTGCTGCCCGCATGGCCGAAGGCATGAGATACGAGCGAGGAGGCAAGGGCAAGTACTGGATCCCCAAGCCTGGACAAGCATCGGAGCATGAACCACTCCTTAACAAGGTCACATCGAGCCGCGCCAGAGCCATGAGTCCAGGGCCGCACAAGGCTCTCAAAGGCGAAGGTGCCAAGTACGGTACACCCGACGTGGTCGAAGAGCCCAATCTGGACGCCGAGGAAGAGCGCTTATATGATAACGCACGTACGCTGGAGTTCGGAGACTGGAACGTAAGTATACATCCATCTGCAATCGTGTCTTATCTAACCTAGCTGTAGTACCCCGTCATCGAAGCCCACCGTCCATCTCGTGAAGACCGCATGTACGCCGATCCCAACATTCTGACCGCATCGACCAACCGAAACCTACTGCAACCCACCAAGGAAAACAAGCGCAGGAGGAAGAGCCAAATTCAGGATCTACAAGAATCTGTAGACAAGGGCAAACAACGCGACCAGTCGAGCACTGGAGAGTCATCCCGCTCAAAGTCCTCACATTCCAAGTCGCGTGCGCCCTTTGGCAACCTTCTCCGCCAGAAGTCTTCTTCGTCCAGCTCAGCGAAATCGGACAAGAGCCAGCTTGTGGATCTCGTCGTCGAGGATCATCAGGCAGAAGAAGTCGACCGTGTCAGAGCGCGTAAGGAAGGTGGTCCAGGATGGAATGAGGTTCCTTCGAAGCACTTTGTGTAGGTTGTCCCTCCGTTATCGATTCAAAGTACGAACCTAACAATTATTGTAGTAAAACATACGAGCCAGGCGAAGAAGAAGAGGTTCGAGAAGGCTTCAACCCCGATGAGCCTGAGCCGCAGAATCCAGAAGCTGAGCACAACCTGAACTACCCGTTTACCGAAAACCAAAGCGAAGAGGAACAGCGGAAACACGACATCAAGCCGCACATTGTTAGCGAGGCCAATCACTGGGAAACGCGCGATGTCAGCAACCAGAAGACCAGTGAAGAGGCCGAGGATCATCCCAGTCCGTCCTACGGCAGTTTCAGAGAAGAGCGCAACGCTTGGAATGCCGACTGATGACGCGATCCCGATCCCGATCTCAAGGAGGCACTCATTGTCAGACTTTGGGCCATCGATCTGTTTTATACCCAAGCTTATGCCACATATTACACCTTGCGATATTTTTTTCCTGCGGCGTTAGAATGTCAGCGATATCCTTGTTCAGTTAGCATAACTACGGCGAAATTCATCTACTATACATCTGACTGACAAGTGCAATGTACGGTCCGTTGTGCATTCGTTTCCGCTGTCATCTAAATCATGCGGCCAATGAACCAAGCCCGATCAAAACCTTCACCCCAAACGGGATAGAGGTGGAGATTTGCTCTTCCGCTTCTGTGGAATGGATACAAATCAGGACGAGACGAGCTTTTTTCGTAAGGCCCCCCAAGTCTCTCAATGCGCTGGCACCGGTGAAGATGGGTAGACTCTCCTCACTGCAGCCTCTGAATTCCATTTCTTGTCTATGATTGGATGAATTGACTGTTGATTTCTGCGTGCTTGTTTCATGAATTATGCATCTCACCAATTGCAAACTACCCGCTAGCATGAAGGTTTATACCAGGAATCGTGAGTAGATGACTGATTCGCTGTCGCACATCCTGGGATGCATGCCGGTGCGGGAGCGGACTTGGCGAGAGCCTCAGCAACCGATGGGGCAGGCGCACGCGTGATTTGCACCTTCCACCAGACCCAGGCATCACGGACCCATCAATTCAACACTACCCTCATATATCGGAAATCCGTTCGTGCGCGTCTCAAACAATGACGCTCGTTGCGATGCGCATGTTTCAAACGTCGCAGATAAAGGCCAGTGTTCCAAGGCATCCCCGCCATGTCGCGGTGATCTGCCCAAGGACGCGACAGCTGTGCGCATGCTCGAACATGGCGATATGGAGTAACAGCCCTGATGCCAGACCTGCCAACGAAAAGGGACCCAGCGCGCCACATGCCGACAAGGCCTCTGGCAGTTTCAAGCCGCAAGCGCTATTGCCTCGTCACTGGTCCACGTTACTGCGAGTCTCCGCTCTGCCTTGAGCGCTTACTCTATTTTCCTAGCCAATCACACCCGGCACCCTACCATTTCGCCTCAATGCGCGCAAGCCTCCACACGAGCTAGCTGGTGAAGTTGACAACCTCCATGGTAGGGATGCGCTGCCATTGGGCGCGTACAGAATGATCAGGGACAGGCCTCATCTATAACATGCGAGCCACTGTCGTCCTGTGAAGTGCGAGTGGTTCGCTGTTCCTGACGGCCAGACCTCCAGGATTTGCGCATTCTAGAAGCGAACCATCCGTTGCAGGACAACACATTCGTCGACAGGCTGCGACTTTATCCGAATGGTTCGCGCAGTCAGCCTTCCCTCTCTCATCCTTACCCTTTCCTCCAACCTTCTTCTATTACTCTCTTCTAGTATCTGTTAGTCTTTGCTTTTGCCTGCTTCAGGCACCACATTCTCTGTCACGCTTCTTGTTCGACTGCTTTTGATCATTTTGATGATGGGTTATTAGCTGTACTGGTCTACAGCGTGAAAAGAAGATGAATTACGGGAATATGCAAGAGAAGGAACCCAGGTCCCCATGGCTGGCCATCAAGTTTGGATGCTGTGCATCAAAAGAGGATTTTGTGGACGATGGGAGAAATGCGCTCAGGGCCGCTGGTAAGTTCGATCCCTTCTTCGACTCTCCATCCTCACAACTGTCTTTTCACTTTGCGCTCTCTTTTCTGCGGTCGTCTCTACAGATTCCTGCCTCGATCATAGCAGTCTGCTGTCCGTTGGTTCCCAACTCCAACGTTCTTGTTGAGAAGCACCATGCCACTCGCTTACGCTCTCCTTAATCTGCTTGATGCACGACTATACCCGGGCGATGCTCCAACAGACATCCAATATGTTGGAGCCGCATAGGGCAATCCCGATTGATCCAACATAACGCTAACGTCTTGATGCATAGGGGAGACTGATATGCGCATATGCTACGAGCAACCGCGTCCCGTACCCCAACCTTGCGCGGAGCCAACACTTCAACGCCCATCGACAAGTCAGTCGGTGAGCCGCCATGTCTCGCAATGGGTTTCCAACAGTCGCGAGTACGCTACACGTGCTTCGTCTCGTGCAAGCATCTCGACCCTTGCGCGACCAAGGCGCTCCCATTCAAGGCCTAGCATCAGCCGCCCAACAAACTTTCGGCACTTCGATGGTCTTGATGATATGCCTTCAATGCTCGATGATGCTTCCGTGCCTACTCGCCGTCGTCGTAGCTTCCGTCCGCTTGAGCTATCTATCTACCTTCCTGACGGCTGTGGACATCTTTCTCCACTGCCTGACTTCGACGGTGAGGATGCCTGGGCTAGCCTACCATCGCAGCTGGAGCGTCCTGCTGAAGCTCATGTCCGCGTAAGAGACTCACGTACGAGTTCTGTATCTTCAATTCCTTCTGCCACATCATTCGTCATTCAACGTAAACCCGTCGGTGGGCAGTCCCGAAGGAGCAGTGTCCAGAGCCAGAAGAGCACCGCCACCCACGAGAGGAGACTCTCAGGAACCACCATGGGTACCATGGCTACTCCCACTCTAGCATACCTGCCAGAGAACTCGCCGATTGCCGTTGATCAGATCCTTGACAAGCCCACCATCCGGCGATCGCGCACGTCCGGCACATTGTCGCCTGCCCGTGTGCTTTCACGTCTTCCATCGCCGTCGCGCAATCGGGCCAACACTGCACCATCTTCTCGCCCAGGAAGTCTTCGCCGTACAAAGACCGACGTTGATGATGCCATCCGCGAACTGAACACCATAATCGAGGAGCGCCGTGCCAGCGCCTACCGCTCGCACGCCCACTCACCCGCACTCATCAACCGTCCTCCACCCTCTCCGTCTCACCACGTACCTTACATTGCGCCGTCCATGCGTATGCATGTCCGCTCTGAGACTCTCTCAGATATCGGCTCTGCATTCTCAGCTCCTCTGGGCTTCAAGCCCCTCGCCACCACCCCAGAAGCTTCCGCGCCCCGACGAGCAACGATGGGCCTTACACTCTCCCCACCATCCTTTGCTCACACCGGCCCCTTGACCTCGAATCCCATCACGCCGCCTCCACCCGCTACACCCACCACACCCATCGCCCGCTTAGGAGCCTGGCTCAAGCGCTCCACCTCCACCCTAGCCTCGAGCTCGCGACCCGCGACGCCAAAAACAGCAGACTCCTTCTACCAATGCTCGCCCTACCCTGCCCTCCCCACCTCGACCTCCCGCCCCTCAACATCCGGCTCCCGCACTCTACACAACCGACAAGAAAGCCAAGAAAGTAACGGCACAGCTACCGTAACGCTCTTCTCTACTACATCCTACGCCTCCACGCGCTCCACCTCGCCCACACCGACGACCCACTCGCTTGCTTCCACAGTTGCCACTTGCTCGCCACCACGGAAGCTTAGGCGCGTTCCTGCTCCCCTGACGCTCGTCAAGGAAAAGGAGATTGCGGCTGAGGCTGGTCTCTTGAGTGCGACAACAAGGAAGAGCGGTGTCATGAATGTGAAGCCGCCTATGAGTCCTAACTTTGATCTGCTCAAGGGTATGGAGATTAGTGCTAAGGACGTTGGCGTTAATGGCAGGGCAAGTGCGATGGTCATGAGTCCAGGGGCTGTTGGTGTTGCCTTCTAAACATCTCTTACTAGTTCTAGCTTTTGTAGGTTTACGGGTCTATGAGGTATGGCCAGGGGAGTTGTATGTCTTGGTCTGGCAACGGAAAACAGGAACCGGGACCGCACATGTAGGACTTTGGACTCGGCTTTTCTGGGATGGACTTTCGGATGGGTACTCTTGATGTTGTCATGTCGTTTTTGATATCCACTTTCTTCTTCTTCTAGCGACTCGGGCATATACCCTCCGTTTCACTCTCCTGTTGCAAGCTGTCTCGCTTGTACGGAGAGGCGGATGCCTGGGCGTGTATTCTTAGCTTCTTATAATTTATAGCCTTTTGCTCTCTATTCTGCTGTTTCTATACCGTAATTGCTGAAGTGACTTCCCTTGCAGCTTCCAGTGTTGTGGCTTACTCGTGTATGGGGCATCTGAAAGGAGAGGACGCTAAACCCTTTAGGGCGCAGTATCACCAGAGGCGGTCATGATCTGTGTCTCATTCCACAACGGATAAATTAGGGTAGGAGCATACATCATCTTCGAAACTGCCTATTCATCAACATGTAGTAGTCCCTGGAGTGTAGGAGCTACCAAGATTACGCAATCTTGGGAGGAGCGATCAGATGCATTTGCCATCACGAGGGCACTAGGGGTGGCTGGAAGTTGTGTCGCATTTTACAAAAAGATGTGAGTAGAAATATGCATTGTCTTGCATGATGCCTATTTGCATAGACGTAACAGCGTGTGTGCAGCAGCTTAGGGATGCGACACGAATAATAGCCACTCCTAGTGCGGATGTACTTGTGAGCGTCGCGGAATGAAATAATCTACGATGTGAAGGCATCTGAACGTGGTCTACCTCCGCGCCTGCCACGTAGCGTACGAGGCACTATATTCCACGCGAGCATCGTGATTGCTCCATCCTCACTTAAGCAAGAGCTTTAACCCGCGAGCTCTTTCACCTTCAATATATTGATTTGTTTACTCTCACATTGATGTCTTTTCAACAGCGCTGTTGCATTAGTAAGTGAGCGCCCGGCGAGAAAAGCTGAATACTGACCTGGCGAGATCATTAGTCTTCCTCACTCGCCTTTCGAACACAGTATCGACTCCAGATGTATCCCCCAAGGCGTATCAATACTCATATCAGCACGATCCACACTCTCGATATGAACAATGATGTTGATATGCCTTCTTCTGACATCGATGACTCGAACGCGGATCTATACGCGATGGACCTTCCTTTATCGCTCGCCGGTGAACTGGCCGCACAGCAGACCACAGTTCGTTGCGCAAATGTCAGCGGTTCAACAGAATCGGAGCACTTAGAACTTCAAGCTACTGCAGAGCCTCCGCCCAGTCCTCCTTTCTTCAAACCAGCATCCTGGAACGCGATCGATGCCGTCAACGCGGAATACCATGCCAATATGCAGCAGGAGATGCAGGAGATGCAGCAGGAGATAGCCGCACAAGAGCTTCGCGCTGTGAAGCGTCGTCTAGACCTGCGACATAACATCGCTCGCACCGCCAAAAAGAAGATTTTCGATTCTGAGCCGCTCGTTGTACCCAGCTCCTGGTCGATGTCGGGAGTTCCCCTAAAGAGCTTGGTCAAGCATCCTTTTTTGCTTGAGGAGTACCTGGAAGGCGAGCACTTTTCCCGCGAGGCAATCAGAATTCGAAGGGAATACTTTGAAATCAAAGACTGTGGCTCACCGGAGATCAGGCGTCTCGCTGCCATGGAAGCAGACTACAGAGAAAGCCAGGCGTCACGATCGTTGCTTGATCTCCTGCTAGAGGCCATTCAACATGCAACGCAAAAGCTCATCTTGGAGCTTACAGAAGGCGATAAGACTACGAAGAGACCTGTCTTGGATCTATGCCGTCGCCTGGTCGCTCATTCGACCCACACAGATGATGATGGTGAGCTCATTCAGGTCGTGGAAGCGATCAATGATATCGAACGAGGACATATGCAGTTGCAATACGATAACGTTTTGGAACGGTCCAAGGAAACTTCGTCAACGTCTTCGATACCTCATGCAGTCGCTCCACCAGACTCACCACCGCCTCATCACATCTGTCTTCCAGCAGAGCCAGCGTCGTCGCCACCACCGGTTGAGACATCCCCGCCCAAGGAATCGAGTCGGCTGTGTGTAATGTTCCAAGAGAATTTGGCATTGCTCAGTTCAGGTCAGCGATATGCAATCCAGCCCTTCAGACCAGCATACTAACTCCGTGCTACCAGGTAAATGGAGAATGCCAGGAAAGAGCCAATCAAAACCCTCGCCTAATTCACGCAAGCCACTGAGTAGTCAGTCTTTACGAGGTAGAAGTCACCACAGAGCCACCGACATAGGCCATTTGACACATCCCATCGTCATGATGGCCCTCGAACAGCCGCCTGTAGCTTCAAGGCCCGCCGACCTCAATCCCGCTCCTCACACCATAATCCGCCCTGCGGCTTCGAGACCGACGCCTATCAGGCCGGAAGCGACGCTATCACCGAAGTCTTCGCTCGCAAATACTAGCAAGAAACGTCGGGCAAGCCAGGAACTGGCTGCTACAAGCGATTGCGAAACAAACCCGACCAAACGACCCAACAGGAGTGAGCGTGACGGAAACGCCCACTCCGCGCAAGTCGAAAGTCGCGATGCCAATGTCGAAATAGGTGTGTCTATGTTTCACAAGTCTTCTCCAGTACGTCGCCCTGCTAATCAATTCAACAGGTAACACAGCGCGACCGACGTGTCCTACTCCGAGCCCCCAGATGCAAGCAGCGCTTGCAGAGGCATGCAGGAAGAGGGATGAGCGACAATCGAACCAATGGCAACTTGTGATTTACAAGCGCGATGAGTATGTCTTCTGGAAGAAAGAGTGGAGAAGATTTGAAGATACTGACAATGAAGCGTAGACAGAACACTTTGGAAACTGGGCGGTGCTATTATTTTGGGCAGGGTTAGATATGATGCAGGCAGTGAGGTCGTGGTATTGCGCATTGTAAGGTCGTAAGAAGTCGGCGAGCATCGGTATCATTATTACCGCAATCAAGCTCGGAAAGCTGCTTTGCTTTCAACAGCGGTCTTGATGCTGCATAACTGTGGTTTTGCGTGTGTTGCGTCTCTTCCCTCGTCCCCATACATGTGTACTCCGTTGTTGAAATCGATGCACCATATTCAAAGGAAGAACTGAACCGAGCCCCATAGAGCCGACATTGACGTCGCGTCGCCTTCTTCTCATGTGTTCATGTTGATGTAGGCTCCAGCATGATGAAGCTTTTCCTTATATGAGGTGTATGAGCTGTAAAAGACGCAGTAGGAGTAGCGCACCTTCAGATAACGTAACAACCGCGTCGACACCGGTTGTATACCCACAAAGCCGTACATCCGCCATTTTCGCAAGCCGTCCAGATCAGTGCCCAGCCCACGTGCATCCCTCACATTCGCTCCCATCCTCTCATCATCCACGATCCATCGTCCATCGTCCACCCGCCTCTCATGTGTACTCCACCGCCACACCTCCCAAGCCGCTTCTCCTATACCACGCATAAAGACATCCATCGCGCCATCCTCACACGTGTCTTATCTCTCCCACCTGATTGACAGCCCTCCGCCACGCCTAGCGGATGTCGCCGCTCCAATCTCCCCAACCACGCGCTTTCGGACCAATCACCGTCCCACCTTCCCAAAGAAGCTACAGCCGCGGCCCGCGCCAAACCAGGGTCCAGCGCTGCACTCCGACCAACCAAACCACGCGCGTCGCTGCACGCGTCGAAAACACGCACAAGATGTCAAGAGAATCAGTGGTATTGCCAAGGGCTATCGGCGCTCGCGCATGGCCGGTGGCATGTTGTTCTCTGGCTGTGATAGGCAAGTTGCGAAGATGAGTTAGTCGAGCAAGAGGTGGGTTGGTGTTTAGTAACGGATGGGTCGGACGGCCAGCGGCGATAACTGTCAGGAACAGGTCAAGTGGAGTGTAGCGCGATCGTCATTGATAGACAGCAGCGGGACCGGGTTCTTGGAACGCGCTTTTTGACTTGGTAGCATGGTAGCATGGTAGCAATGCGGATTATAAGAAGATAGGGCCCGGGCCTCAATACTGGTAAACGCTATTCCGGTTCATACCTTCGTTTTTACTCTTCGTTATGGCGCCTTTGACGCGACTTTTTGCCCTTTCGGCCTCGGTGGCGGTTTCTACTGCGCTGACGATTGCGGAGATTAATGGAAACAAGTTTCTCTCGCCATACAGAGATCAGACGGTTTCGAACGTTACTGGTGTTGTTACGGCGAAGGGACCCGATGGTCTTTGGCTGCGATCGACACAGCCTGACCGCGACGAGCGGACATCCGAGTCTGTATACGTTTTTGGTCGCACGTTTGGTGCGAACTTGACGGTTGGCGATACTGTTGTTGTGGGAGGCAAGGTGGTGGAGTACCGCTCGAACAAGGACTACATCTACCTGACCCAGCTCTCGACACCAGTATTGCAGGGGCGACTCAGCTCGGGTGCTGCCGTAAAGCCGCTGATTATCGGAAAAGACACCCGCGACCCTCCAAATGAGCAATACAGCAGTCTGGATGGCGGAGATGTATTCGCTGTGCCAAACAACGTGTCGCAGATTAGCGTTGCGAACCCGGAGCTGCAGCCAAAGAAGTACGGTCTTGACTTCTGGGAGAGCTTGACCGGTGAATTGGTCACTGTCAAGAAGCCTACTGCGCTCACCAAGCCCAACCAGTACGGCGACACCTGGGTAGCTGGAGACTGGAAGGTTTCTGGTCGCAATGACCGTGGTGGATTGACCTTGACTGACAAGGATGCCAACCCAGAGGCCATCGTTATCGGAACTCCTCTCGACGGAACCAAGAACCCCACTGGCACCAAGATGGGCGATTCAGTCGAAGAGATTACTGGCATCGTCAGCTACGCTTTTGGCTTCTACCGCATCCTCCCTACTACCGCTATCAAGGTCACTAAGAGCCAGACGCCTGCTCTTCCTCCGGCGACCAAGCTTGTATCGAGCGGCAAGT